TATTTATTTAGAAAAGAAATGCAGTGAAATATATATTATAAAATAAATAAATATTCGATCCCCTTTACATTCCCTTAAGTCTCGGCAATATATTTTATAACAACGAAAACGAAAATATTCTCAACTAATTTCATAATTTCGTTCTTATACTGACCAAAAGATGCTAAAAGAAAAAAATTACATGTATTCGAATGATAAATCCATTCGCATAAGCAGTTAAAACGAAGCGCAATTATTTCAAGACCATGTTAAAAATATCCCTAAGAATTTCTTTTTACAATCACGCATGAATTTACCGGAAATAGGAGAACTTATTGAACGTTAGCCACTCCAAAGGAAAATGCATGGAATTCTCGTGATTTTTACGAACTAGAGACAGTCACGATTATGAAATGACATGACAGATGTTGGCACAGCGTAAGAGTATCGTGCGCCCTTCTTTCCATATTTCCTTATGTTCCACAGCTAGCTTCACAAAGTATTCTTATTAGCGATCAAAGGACAACATTATGTTAGAAAATGGATCTCAAGAATCCTCTCCCCAGGCATTTCTACTCCGGAAGTCGAGGTGCTCCTCCTAAGAGATGTATTCCACGGTGACTCCTATCTCTTCTTCGTCAGATCACATGGTGTCCTTTACCGAAGGCTGACACCAATAAGGTGACATTATATTCCCGTGGGACGACCTGAGTAAATTGTTGGACTTCTCAGCCCACATCTGTATCGGTCGCCTAAGTATAATAATCGCCAGCGTGCGACAAGTGGAAAAGACCGTTCTTGTTTAGAAAATAAAATTTACGTAAAATTACGTAACTGTAAGAGAACAGTACTTGGATACAGGTAGTTCTTCGCTGTATCGACAGAATGGGCACCAAACAAAATGCTGTCGGTATTTTCTGCATACGCTTCCGAAAGCTTCTGTGCACAAACACGGCAACGCAATTATTAACTCGTTTACTATTTTCAATCGTTCAGGCGAAACTTTCTCGAATTTTCCTATGAATAACGGAACGGGCCACGCAAAGATAAGAAAGGATAAACATTCGCACACGCCAGGATAACGAGAAGAGGGACCAGTGTGCTTCACGAATGGTAGACCTAAGATCTGTCGAGTTTTGCTCTGTTAAGACATAATCTTCGCATGATAAACAGAAACGGAATGTGATCCGTTCACATACGGTAAACATTGTACACACAAATGAAAAAGACCGGACAGTTGATTGCAAATGACTAATGTGGCCCAGAAAAAAAGCAATAAATTGTTCCTTGTCTACAAGTGCGATACGTGAGAATGGCCGTTAATTTGTGGACTAACGAGTTATAACGAGCCTACTAGTAAACAGTAGATTGGAAATTTGAACATTTGCTCGTTTTTGTAGGGAAAAATTGATGTAACAATGAAGAAACAACTCTGCACACGTAATGATGCAGGGGAGCCGTAGTGGGCAGAAAGTGTTCAAACCTGCGATCTCTGTAATACTATGATCTATTTTTCGAAAAAATACCTGAACTGGTAACAGCTGATCATCCTACTCTCTCTCCCTCTCTCTTACTTAACACTTGCAACGTAGGACTGTAATAACTGGCTGTTATGTTCTTTTTCGAGAAACAGACCATAGATTTTAGGTAATTCCATAAATAATGCGAAATTCCTTCCACGTTTCAGCAGGGTGAAATGTAAAACCATCGTCATAATCATTAGTCTTATCGTACGTTATTGTACAGGTTATAAAAACACAAGAAAATTATATGAAATACTTAGACTGCGGATTTTATGCATTTATGGCAAAACTAAATTAGTTAAATACAGAATTGTAAGGAGACATCGCAAAAATTTCAGGATACTGTTTTACTATTTTTAACTGATTACCATTATTAAAAAAAGAAAAACATTTTCTTCTGATCTATGTTTCTTATAATTGACATCGACAATATTTATTTTGCATAAAGATCCGCGATCTAAATCGTTACTAATGATTAAGGTCACGATTTTATAAGTATGTATTTCGCCTTCCTAAAATCCAGATGCAAATTCGCATTACTTATGGGATAATCTGATACATGCACACTTATACTTATTTGGCCACGCAGCTTTCATTTAAACTGCTTACAATTATTTTGATTTATACTTCCATGCTTCTAGAAAATGAATTGTGGAAGAAAACACTCGTACGGGTGTTTCCTAGACACAGTGTACTCATTAATCGAAAAAACGTTTCAACCAAAAATGAGATATTAATTTAACAATAATTTTATTTATAAACCATTCAAGGACCACTTTATAACTTCTTCGCACAAGGGGTAGTTATAAACATGAATGATTCCTATAGTTCTGGAGGTCGAATGAAATGTTTGATACATCAGTTTTCGTTTTCACTTTTTTAACCGTCGTCATGTGTTCTTAAATATCTGCGATTAAAGTTTACCCCGCGCCGATATCGTAGTTATCCAAGGTCAACATTTGCTGGGCACCATAAAATTTGTCAGTCGTTCATAATTTTTCGGATCCTTAACCTTAAGTGACCTTAAACGACCACGATCATTCAAGTTGTCTTAAGAAACGTAATAACGCCAGATATTAAAAAATACATGATCCGATTTTAAAAAATGAAAATTCCGAGACAGGTCTACCTAGGAAAAGATTTTGTCCAGCAAAATCGAACGATGTTTCTATCAAATATGTCCACTTTATCTGCAAAACTGTAGGAGTTATTCACAATGGTTTGTCTTACAATTACATGATTGACTCTGTACATAAAATAACTGATTCGTTTTACGGGGAATCATTCCGTAATTGCGAGAATTTTTATAGTCAACATTTTTTTAAAATGATAATGCTTACAATAATGCAGCCGAATGGAAACTGACATAGTTCAAAGACGTTTTCATATGCTGCTATTCCTAATTTTTATAATCTACTGCTTACACTCATACACTCTCTCTCTCTTTCTCTCTCTCCCTCTCTCTCTCTCCCTCCCTCTCCCTCTTTCCCTCACCCCCCTCTCTCTCACTCTTTTTCTCTCTCTCTCTGCTTCTTTCTTATTTTTCCACAAATACAATACTATGACATAATATATGAGCATAACGTCTGTAATGGATTCAGCATGCATAGATATTTTAAAGAATGTTTATATGGACATTTCTTCTGTCTAGCATAAGTTTCTAAATGACTTAGAAATTTTTAACCGTCTAGGTGTTTAGGGAAAGGACATCTGAAAATTTCTATTCAAGCCATACATGATGATTATCAACAACTTTTACAAAAACAGTTATAAGTTGAAAATAAGTAAAATAAAACGAACAATTAAATAAATCTTCTTTACTATTTATCTGTGCTGAATCTATCAATGAAGTTATACCCATATAATATAATGGTACATTTTATATAGGGTGTATTCTCTAAAGTAACCACTATTTTTCAAATTAATATTTTTCTATTGATTCAACTTATATTTCTGAATTCAAAGTTGGCTGAGGATCATAGTACAGTAGTACATAGTACAAGTGTACATACAACTGTACATAGTACAGTTATAGTACATACAAGTGTACATGGTACAACTGTACATAGTACAGCTACCAGTTTTCTGGAAACTTTTAAAAATCAAATGTGTAACGGAGCGAGGAATGATTCACTTTTGTTCGAGACATTTCTTTGATGATCTTCAATATCTGGAAAATGATAATCGACAGGGGTTGGCTGCCAAAGCTTCACCCTAACAAGTCTTAAAAAATCAAAGTAAATTGGTTAAGAATATCTACATTATACATCTAACTCTTTTAGACCCTACAAATTTTAATAAAAATCGGTTTACGCAAATATATTGTAATAAAACATAATTTTCGATAATTAATGAAGAATTGTGTCACTTACAACACATATTAATCTCAGAGGATGCACCCTGTATACACGGTGGTCCAAGTAAAATTTTACAAGCTGTCTTCTCTAAAACTATAGCAGCTATCGATTTAACTTCTTTTTCAATTATTTTGAACAAAGAAAGTAATATATTATTCCACTGAAAAATATTCAAGATTGTCTACACCAAATAATCAGCCCTATTATCTCACTTAATTGAAAACAATTAAATTGATAGCTATTATCCTGTGTACCGAATATGCTATGAAGAGGAAAGTAAAACTACAGAAGATCTCTCCTCCCATCGAACACTTTATCAATTGCTTGTTCACACATATACAATGTACAAGTCCAACAAGATACAGCTTCAAATGAAACAACGTTCCTTTCGATCCATTATCAGGAAAATCAGTTCTTTATTTTTCTATGCCGACATTAAAGAACTGTATTAACGATATAATTCATTCAATTATATGACTTGAACCGAATTTCGAAACCATTCTTAATTATTTAACAGTATTTTCACGTCATGTAATGTATAGTTTGCAGAACATGTATTCAGAACATTCGACGCGAACGGCGATGGAACGATTGACTTCCGAGAGTTTTTGTGCGCTTTGAGCGTTACATCTCACGGTAAATTGGAACAGAAGCTGAAGTGGGCCTTCAGCATGTATGATCTTGACGGTAATGGCTACATTTCGCGGCAAGAAATGATGGAAATCGTAACAGTACGTACAAAATATACAATATTTCTATTCTAATCTACAGAACCGGAACAATCGAAATTGTGATTCGTGATCAAACAATAAATTTTGTAATTCTAAACTAGCAATTTCGAAATATGGACCCACAAGCTTAAACTAAATAGTTTAATTACGTTTATTTGTATGACTTTCTTGAAGAATTTCTGTAATCATTTTACTATTCTTGACATGTTCCCTCCTACGCAAGTTCTTCGGTAATAATAAATGAAAATTAATATTTATTACACGATAAACGAAAAAGAAAGAACACTTAGCTTGTGCTTTTCGCCTAAATTCGAATAAAAATTTGCAACAACACCGTACAAAATATCCACTGTATCAACAGATGAAAGAGAAGCGAAAATTATGTATTATTTGTCTCTTCCTAAAATCTAAATAAAAAATAACATTCAATTTTTAAATAAGAAAAATGGATTATTCTATGAGGATTTATATTGGTTTCAGGCAATCTACAAAATGGTAGGATCCGTGATGAAAATGCCAGAAGACGAGTCTACACCTGAAAAAAGAACCGATAAGATATTCTTACAAATGGACAAAAATAAGGATGGAATATTATCGCTTGATGAATTTATAGAGGGTGCAAAGAATGACCCGTCTATTGTGCGACTGTTGCAGTGCGATCCGAGTGCACAAGCTCAGTGAAGCCTTGGGCCGTTACGCAAGTATTACCGTATCATCTACATACGAGAATCGGGAACCGGTCTGATAGTACCCCATGTAAAAAGCATTACGATCATAAGGAATATGTATGACGATTTTGTTAGAAGATCTACGAATCATAACGTTCGCTGTTAATTGGTTTCTATTAACGAACTTTCGCGCGTAAACTTGTTTCTTCATTTTGGTATAGTCACGACGTTTTATCCGGATGATTATTTGAATTGACGAAAACTAGAGAGTAAGCGAGATACATGTTTCTTTATGAACGTAAATGTTCTATAAAAACGTAGGTGATAAGGAAAAGTGGTATTTTGACATTGGACCGGTTCCCGGAAAGGTCCAGGGTCACTGGGCCCATGGCGCTTGCGCATACCGCAAGCTAGTCTGTAAGACTAGTCCAGTCGCTCCGTCTTATAAACGGATCGGTTTTAAAGAAAAAAGCTTGTTACGTTTTTGGATATATTGATCTTCGTGTGCTGCGTACGACGAAGGACCCGCAGAGCGATCCGCGCTCTGTGATTTCAGAAAGAATATTTCGACTCATAGCTACAACCGAGAATCTGCTTCATCCAACGTTGCAACCTTGATACTGTTGATAAATTTAATGTCTGTAGCAGTGTTCCCAGTCTATTTGTTCGGTTAAATGTAATAATTAGCGAGATGTTATACAGAAGATGTACTACATACTTGTACTGTTTGTCATTTCACAAAATATCTTGAATATAGAAATTTCATTTTTCATACAAGCACTGTCTTTCATCATAGGGATGTGTATGTCTTTGCTAATCACCTTTGATTACGCTTCTGAATAACGATAACACATTTCGGACGTATTTTTGAGAAATAGCCTTTATTAAAAATCTCCGCCATACGCAGCTCAAAATAAAATTAGTCGTTAAACGCGATATTTAATTTTTGTAAGCTATTGTACACAACGTATCTTTCTCCTACTTTATAGTCACGTGCAATGGACATACAGTTGATGACTCTTTCAAAGTTAAACGTTTATATGTGATTTATTTTTTTTAAGCAATTATATACTTTGATTCGAAATTTTTATTTAAATTATATTATTTATAACAAACGAAAAATAAACACAATACAACATTATTTAAAAGATTTTGATAATGGTTTTATTTAAAATGTGGTTCAAATAGATATTTCATATTTATGGTTCTCTCTACTTTTAATTTTAAGTAATAAGATAATAATTTGAATTAAGTTATACATACTCTGTATATTTAAAAATTTTGAAATTGCGATACTTTA